ACTCGAACCAAGGGACCCCTCTGCTTCACTGTGGTGTGTTATTGCCAGTGCAGCTGCTGCTTTATTTCACACGGGCATTAGCAGACGACCCTGCGGTTGCTCCACTTTTGCAGCTCACCAACGTTACTCCGACTGGTGACGGTCAACACATTGAGGTGCGAATCAGATGTGAGGCGCCGGCCACCCTGGTGGGCCAGCCCCAAATTGCCATTGCTGACCGGCTGATGGCGTGTTTCGAGAGTGGACTCCTTCCAGCCAGACGCGGCGAGTTCGATCCGCGAATGTTTACGTATCCGGGAGCGTATCGGGGCACTTTTCGTCTGCTCTTTCCGCTCTCTCTCGATTCAGGCCGCGGGCCTGTTGAATAGTGCACTGTGGCGCCTTCGTGCTGCTGCTACCTCTGATGGATGGGATCTCCGGGCGGTAGTGGCTTATTGGATACGTGGGCCACAAAAGAAGGACTTTTACTTTCCAGTCCGCTTATGGCGCTTCGCGCATTTCGACGCACTTGACTCCAAAGCGATGGTCCTCCTTCACCGGTTGGTCGCCCGGGAGGAGAATTAGGCGCAGGAGCTAGCAGCTACCGGGTGGCGAGCGTCCCTGGGTCAGGTTGGGGCATCCCTGGGCACAGGAAAGCTGGCGGGGAGCTTCAGACGAGTTCCTCAGGGAAGGGGGCCTTGGACCTGGCCTCCAACTCCCATGTATATCCACCGATCTAATGCCACATCTGCATGCCCCCGACCAGGATACTCACCAATACTCATTCAAAAGGGTGACGGAAATCTATCGTGAGCGAAATTACCAGCTGCTCTATCTCTTACATGAGCGTCATTTTCCTTCGAGCGGTCGTGACATGCAGCGCCTACTCGACAGCTGGTCGCGCTCAGAGGCGGCTGGCTCTTCTAGTTGACAGTTGACAGTCTGTCTTCATCAGCCGCTATTGTGACCGACGACATACGTCGTTGCGTCTTTTTCTCGCTCTCGAGCAAGCGGCAATTGGGTTTTACACGGCTTCAGCTTTGCTTAGCCGAGGTCGGGCCCAAACTGCGTGGGCAGGCAGGCCCTCGCCACAATGTCGATGCACCCCTGTTCGGAAGCTGGCCACGCTCGCCAGTGGGCTTGGGAATTTTGGATTTGGGTGCCCTGGTTGTGACGGAACAAAGGGGGTTAGGCGGTGCATCTCTGTCTGCGATCGCTTTCCCCCTGTGGAAGCCGCTGCGACCGACGACGTACGTCGTTGAGTTTATTTCACCCGCCATGTCACTCATGCCCTCGATACCAAGTTGATGCACCTTCACCTTGAGCTCGGACCTGGGCTCTGGTGTGCACGTTCGAGACGGGACGACACACAGGGGCTGCTGAGGCTCCGCAGTTTGGGCCACGGCTTACGTGGCCCTGGCCGTTGGATTGATCTCCTTGGCGGACATCGAACCGTCGGTGTCACGTTCGCCTTGGTCCTGGCTGCACTGTGTGGGGTCAACTGTCCTTCTTGAGGGGGGGCGGATCCGCTGGCCGTGAGTGCAGTTCCGTTCTGACGGTCCACGTGCGGAGACCGCCACCCCCTGCATGACGCTGGCCGTGTGGGTCGCTACCAGGCCTTCATCCTTGAGGGCGCCGGGAAAGGCACGGCTAGGCTGTGGGCCTGCCCGCGGTTGCTGGCGAGCTCGGTGGCCACGTCACTGGGGCTTGGATGACGTACCATTCCGTACTGCGGACAGTAACGCACCGCAACGTCCTGCTCCTGCCGGTTTGCACTCACGCGCCTTCAGCCACATGCGTGCCGTATGCCCCTAAGCTTCGCCGCCTGCCTGCGACATACGTTGCTCGCCCCTCCACCTGGCCATCGTGTTAGTTCCCACCTCCGAATGGTGTCTTCAATTGCTGTCATGGCCGCCACAATGGTTTGACGATGCTGTGGAAGCGTGCGATCTGCACGTCAATGTCCGCTTTGGCGATCTCTGCCTGTCTTAGCGGCTGACCCAGTGTTCCAGCTCACGGCTTGGGACGTTGATTTGATTCTGCTGGCGGCGGCAGCCATGCGCGCTAGCGATTCGTGGTCGAGCAACTTTGTCACTGGCAGGTCGCCGGCAGTATGACCGTGAGGGTGTGGCCCACGCAGGTTACCAGTCTCGCATCAGAGCGGCGTCCAGGCGCTTGGCACGCCGAGGGTCGATTGGGTTTGTCCCCTTGGGGTGTGTGTCTTGCCTTTTGTTAAAGGATTTGTTTTAAATCCTGGTGTGTTTCGCCTTCGAAAGGGCCGGCCAAAGGTGCAACAAAAATCTTCGGCGGGCAGCCCTAGGTCAGGTGAAACTCAGAGCTGAAGGTGTCCTGAATGAAGTTTGTGACCGGAAAAAACCTGAGTTGTTTTGTAGCCCAAAGTAGAAACAGATAGCCGGTGGCAAGTGGATAGAAATTCAAGTCGTTTAGAGTATGTATGTTGTCAAAATAAAAACACTATTGATGGTTTCAAGAATCTGGACAAGTTTTCGAGCAAGCCTCTTTGAAATATTTCAGGTACTCAACACATCGAAATCATGGGTTTGTATTTCGTGGGACCACATCAAATATCATGGCACCCCTCATGTCAAAGAAAGAACATTTTCATGGTTGTTCATTGAGTTTCACATGTGTTTCTGCAGCTGCGAACATGTCATGCCATGTGGTTTGAGGGCCCTATTCTAATTACAAGAATAAGCTTCTTTTACCACGTTCGAGATGCAGGCCCATTGCTGCAGGAGCGTAGGAACTATTATAGTACTACCTGCACGCCTGTCCTCTTGCTGTTTCTGTACTTATGGACTGTGGCTTTTTGTACTTAGGAGTTGCGCGCGGGGTGTTTTTGTACTTGGCGATCGTGGTCTGTTGCTGATCATTACCCCGCCCGGGATTGGAGTGGAAAATGGTGTTGAAGCCCTACCGAGAGGGAGCTAGGCACATAGGAAAGCTCCCTCCACACCGTTGGCCGGGTGTGGGGCGGTGGTTAACGCATTCCCCCAGCTGTTCCTCCTTCGGCCAACGTGCCAGTGCCGGCATATGACAGCGGGGCTATGCGCCAACGCGCCCGCTGGGGAGGATGCGCTGGGCGGCCTCTGCGGGAATCTGCAGTTGTTGCGGCTGCCAAGCACGGAAGGCCCAACTTTACACGCTCACACGCTCTAGCACATCAGCATTCTTGTTAACCGTGTTGGATCTGTAGGCTATGCGGCTAGCCGGAGGGGAAATGCACGTAAGAGGCATAGGCAAAAGAAAAACATTGGAACAGTGGCGGGACGCACGATTGTTACTCAAGTAGAGCACCGATCACTCGACAGCTCTATGTTGCATAATAAGTTGTCACTGCTGGACAGTGGCGAGACACGATCTGGTCTCAGGCGTAAAAAAAGAAAAAAAAAACGTTATTTACAGTAGGGTACTGGGTTTAAGGTTTATCATATATAAGCTTGAAAAGTGTATCTTGTTTCGGACTGAATCTGTCGACTCGCCCCACTATAAGATGGCACTTTCTGCATGAAGTCTTCAAAGTCTAAACCCTGACGCCCAATGCCCTTAAGCGAAGGCTTAAAGACGAAACCCGAAGCCCTACAACCCGAAGCCCTTCGTTCAAACCTTAGACAGGAAACCTTAAGCCCTGAACCCAGAGCCCTTAAAAAGAAACCTTAAGCGCGAAACCCAAAACCCTGACACTGAAAGCCGAAGCCCTTACAAAAAACCTTAACCGCGGAAGCCCTTGCAAGAAGCCTTAAACGCACAAAGCTCCAAACCGTCACACCCCTGAACCGGCCCCGAAGTGTTAGGGCTGTGGGTGAGTATTCGGGCTGGCATGATTCGTTCCGTTGGGTGCGGGCTGCTTGCTGGAAAGTGTGGGTTGAATACAAGGCCACTTCGGGCTTGGATCGTTGAGTTGGGGCGCGGGCCGTTTGCTGGAAACTAGGGGTTTAAGGGGCCACACGCGATTTCGGATGTTTCTCATTCTCTCGGGTCTGCACGATCATCGCGTTGTATTGTAACAACCATCTCTGCAGAATCCGCTTGCTCAGCGTCGAGCTATGAACAGAAAGCTTCGCCACCCGACACAGATGGCCCACAAAGTCTTCTTCTTTAAAACAAGAACAGACTTTGGGGTTCAAAGATGCACCAGATGCCGCCCGGCAGATGATCTGACAGTGTAGTTGATGAATCTTTGGGCGTAATTTGTACCTGTGCCAATCGAACACCCTAAACCCCTAAACCCCTAAACCCCAAGACCCCTAAACCCCTAAACTCTAAACCCCTAAACCCCTAAATATAAAGACCTACATTCCAAATCCGAAACCCCTAAACCATAAACCTTTAGAACAGGCCTAACTCGTCCCAAATCTTCCAGTCTATAAGCTGAGCTGCAAAGCTCTGCACTGTTGCACGGCTTCGGAGGCCAAAGCAATGTACGTCTGGACATATAGCCGGCCAGCCCTAGCTGATGAGGATTTATATAGCGGGAAATCACAACGACGACGACGACAAGGACGACGAGTAACTACATAGAAGACTATACCGACGTATAGTAATACAGCCCTTCTATAGAAAAACATGAAACTTCAACATTGGCAAGAATCTCCACAAGAAGCTGCCGTTGCTCATCAGAGAGCCAGAGCTTAGCTTCGTCGCACACAGCACCGACCGTATGCAAAGCCCAGCAGCAAACAGACTGCATCTGCATCGATGGTTCCGATGTGTCCTAAGCTTGGCCAAGAAAACCCAACCAACGAATGCAGTAGTGACCGTAGCATATAAAAGGAAGGGTTTAGGGTTTAGGGTTCAGGGATAATTAAAGTCTAAGCTTAATGCCTGGATGGGCAGTACTTGCCGGACGTTGTTTCGCTTAAGTGTTCAGAAAACTTTGACACAGCCACTTAATAAAAAAACACCAATAGATCAAGAAACACGTAGAGTATCCGCGAAGTAGGCAATCCTGGGCAGCAGGTTTTCTTTTAATGGTTCTGGATGTGACAACAGTTTCGTTTCTAGCAGGCACCGTTGAAATAAATTAGACGAAGTTGCAGCACTTTGTTGGCGTACCCCTTGGAGGGGCCCTGTGGAAAGTCCAGGCTCAGCGTTTCCACGCCGAGCTTTGCCAGGCCTCGAAAAACACTGTGTTTCCTAAACGCAAAATTTACGTCGCCTTAGAAACAACGCTTGGAAACAAAACAATCAAATACCAGCCCAATTCCTGTTTGCTTTAAGAACAAGAAACTCAGTTCGTCGATCGTCGACGGCCGGATGCCGTGGGATGCACACCAAGCTTGTATGTCCCTCCTCAAACAATCCAGGCGTTCGTCGTATGTTGATCCGACCAGATCTTGCCTTGTCTCGGCCATCTCCATGCACAAGCTCCCGACAAGGTCCCTGCCCGTGCCAAGCCAAATGCAATGCAAAAGGTCCGGCAATTCCATATTGGGCGTCCAGCCGCTTAGCTGCTTCATAGCAATGCCTTCGCCAACAGCTGTTGCTTGGGCCCGAAGTACATCTTCAGCATTGTTGAATCGCTCGTGCACGTCAAGCCAATCGTTTTTGGCAGCAAAGCACCGTTGGCAAATTCCATTGCTTCCATGCGTGACGCGCCCATAAAAGCGGGATTGTTGCAACCATTCGTGACGCCACTTCCAGTCGCCTTTCCCTGCGCAAACATGAAGTGTTGCATTAAGGCCATTAGTGCGGTCTGCACAAAGGTTCAAAGACTTGACCAAGTCTTCCTGCAAGTGCGACAGAGTCACGTTCTCGTCCCCCAAGTAGTGGAAATAATCACTTCTTATCACACAAAAGGGGTATTTGCCATACATCGATTCTTTGGAGCTTGTCAGCGGCGACCAAGAAATGATAAGCATATTCCTGGATCGTTTGCTTTGTCCCTCGTCCCCGTGTATTGATATTGGAAAAGCAGTTGCCTTTTCCGCATCGCTCCAGCTTTGCACTGGGTGGTTCCTTGAAATCTTGGTTTGAAACTGAAACAATTTAGAAACCTTTCACAGGTACCAGCACCAATTGGAATAGCACACGCATAGACACATCGAATGTTTGCAGCCCGGTCGCGCCCCCCAGTCCTCGAAGCGAGCTTTGTTCCAGAACTCCACGAGGTCCATGGAGTCTTCATTCCTGATCATCGAAAAGCTGTTCTTTTGATTTGGCAATCTTGGTGTTGTTTACAGAACAAAAACCGAAAACTCAATGTATGGGTAAAGCCAGGCTAAGCTGCAGCTCACTCAGCAATCCTGCTTTGACGATGCCTCGAAAAAGATCGAAAGGTCGCAGAACAGGCCAAGCTTGGTAGATGCTGGGCCCAGGAACCTTCAGTTTGCTTTTTTTCCGAGGTCGCTTTTTTCCTGCTTGTAGCAGGATGTTTCGTCTCCTGCGGCTCCTCGTCCTGTTGGCTTCTCTGGCAGTGATCGTTGTTCTGTCTTTCACCAAAATGGACGGCGTAGACAACGCGCATTTCAATGGAGTCTCGGTTGTTTTTCTCTGATCCCGAATCCCGAAAACACACGCACCTACACCCATACAGGCACATGTTTACAAATTCAAATCAAAGCCCGAATTGCTGGCTTCAACCGAAGCTTCGTCCTTGGAAGAATGGCTTGCGCGATGCAAGCTCTCTTCGATGTGCTGCGCACGAGCTCCGCGGCGACCCAATGTCGTCGCCCATTGTGTGCCTGCAGCCACAATCGCTAACACACACACACACACATCGAATGTTTGCCCCAAACCTGATGTTTTAGAGGCAAGCTACAATTATTGTATCCGGGAACAGAAAATTCACAGGTTCAAGCCTTAAGGATTACAACACTACGAAAGTTGGATACGAGTGACTTTTTGACATCTTTCCATCACACTCAGCAGAAGCAGCTTCGGATATCGTTTGCACGGATGAAGCTGGCTGCCCACGTCCAACATTCCAAGCCAGCACCCTCGAGAGAGGTGCCCTCAGAGTAAAATCAGAGCTCCGGCTCTTCTGTTGCTTTGCAGCAGCGAGCTGCCGTTCTCTGTTCAATCGTTTTGCCGCCAGAAGCATACTGACGGCCACTGCACATCAGGATCGACATTCCCCGCAGCACCGAATCAAAGGACATCTGAATCACATTCACTGCCACTGCACATCAGGATCGACCATCCCCGTAGCACCGAAAGGACATGACACATGCACTCGCATTTGGAAAGCTCCTATAAAGACTCTAGCTGCCCAGGATACTACAATAGTGTGCAGAGTTTGAGTTTTGCGATTTCCCGGCACAGTGTTTTGGGTTGGGCGAGTGATAGAAGGTGGTACTGGGTTTAGGTTCCAGGGATTTGGACAAATATCACTAGCTGTAGTTGGAGGTTCCATGTCATCTAGGAATTGTATATCAGGGGAGTCCAACACCTTATGGGATTCGCGTGTACATGTTTCTGTTAGCACTTACAAGCCTGGATTGGAGTTGTAGGGCTTAGGGGTTTAAGGGTTTAGGGTTAGGGGTTTAGGGTTTTGGTTTCGCGCTTTCAGGCACTGTAAGATTAAAGTGAACATTGTAGCCCTTCGGGTATTTGGGTTTTGTGTTCAAGCTTTGATACCGGAGACACGTTCATGGAGACAGCATCAAAAACTTTGCCAACCGGCGCACATGTGCAAAGCTTTGCTCAGGGATGCGAGAACGCACACGGTCCATTTATGCAGCCCTTTGAACACAGAAATGCATCGTAGCCAGATCAGGAACACTTTACGAATCAACGAAACAGTCGTGTTCAGCACGACTGCTCGCCATGCCCAGCCCCATGTATCGGACGATTGCCGATATCTGCCCTGTGACAGGAGGCACCGTGGTTTGCACATTGGGTACATCGCTCGTCTAATAAGTGGGTTCAGGGGTTGTCACACAGGATTCTTATTGCCCAAGCATTGGATGCTAGCCCTATACAGCACACAGTACTTAGCAGCTACGGGCCTCCTGCCGAAAACAAAACTCTTCAAAAAGCGCACTAAGCCACTAAGCCTTCGGAGTGGCTTTCGGAGGCGCAGGCGGACCTTTAGGTGCAGCCTTTCGGTTAGCACGGTTGAAGCCTTGGATCCTTGGTATCGATGTTCAGGGTTTAGCTTCAAGGGTCAAGAGTCAAGGGGTTTAGGGTTTAGTGGCTCGGGGTTTAGACACACGGCCAGATGCTTACTAGGCACAGGTTTGCAGCCACCTTCGAGTGCTGCTTGTAAGCCTCGACGAAGGGAGCTGCCTCACCAGAGCTTTTGGTTATTGGGGTTGTTGGCAACCCTTTTGTGAAACCTGGGTACACCTGTTGAGAGGCAGAAGCTGTAGGACTTTGACCATTGATTCCCCAGCGGCCCCGAAACTCCATTCCCTTCCCCAACGACGTGAAGCCAAAGCTGATCCCAATACAAACCCACACTCCCTTGTAATGCATAGCCTTCCGAAGAATCGTCTGCAGGGCTTCGATCGTAAGGGTCTTCTGCTTTGCCTGGAGTTCCTTACGTATCTCAGCCATACCCATGCTGCTTGCGTTGATCATCTTAATCAGCTCGGACTGGGACTGCAGGGGCTCCAGCCTTGGATCATGTGCATTAGAATACTGCTGTGGCTTCACGAACATGAACAAAACACCGACAGACATGATTATCGAGTGCCCCAGTAACTCGATTGTCGTAACCATTGCTTTGCCTTCTGCCGTCGTACAAGCACCAACCCAAGTGGTCACAAAGTCGTCCAACTTAAAGTCTGCGGCAGCGGCCATCGTCGTAATGTCAGTCTCCATTTCCGACCCCTGTGTATAGGAGTGTGGCTTCGGAGACCATAATATTGGGCCCTAGGGTTTAGGGTTTCTAGGGTTCGCGCTTTTGGGCTTTAGGGTTGGTTTATGTTATAGGGTGTTTAGAACATTTTAAGGGTTTAGGATTTCTAGGGTTCACGCTTTTGGGCTTTAGGGTCGTCTTAAAGGGTTTTGGGTTTAGGATTTTGGCTATTGGGTTATGGAGCTGGGAGGATTCAGAAAAACCCATTCTTAAGGCCTGCTTTTTGGGGGCTCGAGCTTTCTTTTGCTTCGGCTCTGGTACTTCTTGGCCGGAGTTTCCACCACCAGGATTGGATCCAGACGGAGGAGGAGGAGGCTGCAACGATCGGCTGCCCGACGCACTGTTGGGGTCATGGCCCTGTTCCAGGATTTGAGCAACTTGGGTTGTGTAGTCCGGTGATGCCCCCAACTCGATGCAAATCTCGTCCTCGGATAAGAGCTAACGTTGGTACACTTATTCATCCGTATACACGAGAAGTGTGACACACTGGATAAGTACAGCCTGGACTCCAAAGAACGGGTCGTAAGCTGCCTCTTCTCCCTTTGGAAGTAGAGATAGGTCTTGATGTTGGGATCGTTGCGGTCTCGGGATGTCCTTGGTATGCTTGAGTGGTTTCTGGGCGTCAGCAACATTTAAGGATGCAACATCTTGCAGGCACAGGGGCCCTTTGGGCTGCGTATCCCGCATCTTGCAGAACTCGTCCGCCTTCAGAACGTTCTTGCCGAACAGGTCTAGGATCTCGCTGTACGGATAGTAGTGGCCTCGATTCGTGATTTCATTCTTTTGGGGTAGTTGTTTTGGAAACCGTATACGTGATACTGATTATATACAACTATACGTGTTACTACTATTACTACTATACTACGACTACTACGACTACTACTACTCCTCCTCCTCCTCCTCCTCCTCCTCCTCCTCCTCGTGCTGCTGCTGCTGCTGCTGCTGCTTGCTGCTGCTGCTACTACTACTACTACTATTACTACTACTTTAATACACTACTACTTTTTTTGCTTTCCAGAAACAGAGGTCCTCGCAGGGTTGAGTTTGGGTGGTCCTGGGTTCATTAAGGCTTCAAGCAGGTCTTCCTATAGATATCATTGATATGGTTATAAGGTGTCGGGTTTTATTTAGGAGTTGTAGATCAACACCCCAGTATGGTGAGCAATACCATTGAAGAAGTTAGGACTACGGCTACGGTACCATATACATATGTACCGTCGTTCTACATACAGGACTAACGTTAGTCCTGTATGTAGAACGACGGTACATATGTATATATATATATATATAAAGCCGTAGTAGTACAGTACCCAGCCTTCGTCTTGCGACATGTCTTCGTGCTGGCGCTTAAAGCGCAGCACGGCCTCCAAGGCGAGACCGTTGCCTTAGATGAGAATCCTAGCCGTACGCATCCCTAAGCCGTAAGCTCGAGATCCATCTTATAAGCCGAGAATCAACCGGCCTGGACAAACTTTTGGAAAGCCGCGAGCTTGAACGCCCCCCCTTTCCTCAATACAATATAATTAATCATAAGGCAGCCACTGACTGGATATGAAACTGTTTGCAACACTACTCGGGTTCTGACACGTAAGCCTTCTTCAACTCCTCTGCATGCTCGTGGCGTTCGCAAAATCTCGTAAAGATCTTGTATTCTGCTTGATGCGTCGAGCTGTTGACTCTGTCAGCGGGAGTGGGAGACTTTGGTACTAGCCCTGCCTGTGCAGGGGCGGGGCCTGGCGCACAGGGCACGGGTGCTGTGGTGGGTGCTGCGGGTGTCGGTTCTCCAGCCTTTGCAGGCGGGGGTGGCATAGATGCCGGACTCTTGGCAACCACAGCCTGCTGGGGATCGGGCACTGCTTGGGACTGCTGCTGCTGCTGCACAAATTGCTTGGCGATGGCATCCACAATTGGCTGCAACTGTTCTGGCCCAGCGCCTGCTGCTTGCAGCTGCACGAGCAAATTTGCCAAGAACTGAGTCTGATCTGATGATCCTGTCGTGGAAGCCGGTGTTGACGGTGCACCTGTCGTGGAAGCCGGTGTTGACGGTGCTCCTGTTGTGGAAGCCGGCGTTGACGGTGCGGGAGCTTCTGTTGTGGAAGCCGGTGTGGGTGGTGCCGGAGTTGGCACTGTGGGTGCTGGAGCCGGTAGGGGCGTTGCTGGAGCCGAGGATTGGGGCGTTTCGGGTGCGGCGGATGTACCGCCAACCGACCTAGGATGTCGGCAGCACATACATTCTGAGGTGGAAAAGGCACGTACATAGGTAACTATAGGTGGGTGCATGTGTAGTGCCGGTAAATAGTTAATATATACATATATATATATATATATATGGGTGTGTGTACATATACGTACCATATGTATACATATATACACACGACTGCATAGACCCCAAGGTCATCTAATCTTGAGCATGCAGCGGCATGTTTTGGTATGTGTGTGTGTGTCTTTTGTTGTATTAAGGATATTTTGTGTGGTTCGGATTAAAGGACACATAAGAAATAGCATCATCAGGTGTTTAAGACTCTAGGGTTTTAGGGGGTTCGTGTTTTGTTTTTGGCTCTGGCTGGCCACCCTGAGCCCAATCCCCCATAGATAGATCTTAAGCCTGAAATTATAACCCCGGCCCCGAACACAAATCTCAAACCGGAGACCCAGAGCCCAATCCCCCTAAGCCTTAAGCCTTGCAACCCCGACTCACAAATAATCGATTGAAGCAGGTGGCTCGAATGACCCCTGCGAGCGAAACCGGCCCCACCAATCCTTGTAGCTCGTTTTCTCAGCATCAGATAGCACTGGAAGAGCAAACTCATCGTCCTGCGAGGAGAATTTGTATTGTTGTAGGAACCATGGGAGGTTGTGAACAAATACGGATTTACTTCTAAATGATTATGGTCCTTCTGGGTGGTCCGGGCAACCTTTGACGCCTTGGGCTTGGGCTCACTGAGGTTAAGGCCACCAGCTTTCTTGGCCAGCATCGCGGCCGAGGCATCCACGGGGCTCAGCGTCTGTGCAGGGAGACATTTACTACTAAGCATTATACGACATGGAATCGTCACGAAACACTTAAGTCTAAAACCTTTTACCAAGCCTGCACCTGAATAACTTCAGCAGGCAGACTAAAGTCTTCGAAAGATGATGCTTTGCAAATTGTGGATGCTGCCCTCCCAAGCAGTTTTGCGTGGCCCGTCCCATCCTGGGGGTCGTTCCCTTGCTTTGCTTCTCGCTTCAACGGTCTCGCCTCCCCAGCAACACGTAGCTGAAGCACTCGCTTTGTTTCCTCCTCCTTCTCCTGGGCCTCTTTTTCGAGACGCACCTGGGCTTCTCGTTCCTTCGCCTCTCTCATCTTGGCTTGCAGTTCTTTGTGCTCCTTCTCCTTTAAGTCCTTCTCCTTCGCTTCTCTCGCCGAAAGCTGCTGGGCCTCGTTGTAAAGCTGGTCCAGAGTCTCTTGCTCTCGCAGGTCCCTTTCCCGAGCTTCTTTCGCTTGAGCCTCCTTCTCCAGGGCCGCCCTACGTAGAGTCTCCTGCACTTGCCTCTCTAGCTCCTCCTTCTCCTTTGCCTCCTTCTCCTGTGCTTCCTTTTCCTTTGCTTCCTGGGCCTCCTTCCGGACACGCTCCAACATTTCCTTGGCTTCTCTCTCCCTTGCCTCCTCCTCCTTCCGGAGACGCTCCCACGTTTCCCTCTCCAGCGCTTCTCTCTCTCTCGCTTCCTTCTCCTCGGCCTCCTTACGCAGACGCTCCCGGATTTCCCTCTCTAGGGCTTGTTTCGCTGCCTCCTTCTCCTTAGCCTCCCTCTCCTTTGCCTCCTTCTCCTCGGCCTCCTTTCGGAGACGTTCCTGTGTTTCCTTCTCCTTTCCACGCTTCTTGTCCTTGGCCGCTTTCAAAGCAGCCGCTGCTGCTTCCATAGCCGCTCTCGCGGCTCGTTCGTCGTCATCCTCCTCATCCTGGCCAGCTTCCTGATCCAGCTGGCTCTTCAGTTCATTTTCAATCTCTAGCACTTCCTGGTCTTTCAGGGTCGCATCGATAGAGGCACCGTGCTGAAGCCCAAGCGAAAGCTCGCTGCTTGACCGCCCGGGCAACACTAGTGTCTCTGCTGACAAACTAGCACCTAGCAGAGTCGGCTGGCACGTACCGTCCCACTCTTGAGTGTCCTGAGCGCTGATCTCGACCGTCGGCGTCTGGGTGGTGTGCTTGGATCGTCGGGCTGGCTTATAAGTGTTTAAGCGACTTAGATAAATGATTAGACGTGAAATATCCGTTTGCAGCACTTACACATAAGTAACTTACAAGGGTTATGTAAGTGGTACTAGGTCGGTTACATAAGTCCACTTGGTAAGTCATCGTGCTGACTTATAAGTCACTTAGGGTAAGTCCTATAAGTAAATCTTGGCAGTTATTGGCTTGTGCTCACCCCGGTCAAAAAAGTTTATTGAAAAATAAATTGTCCGCGTGCAAGTTTATTAAAAAATAAACTTGCAACGCGCAAGTTTATCAAAAAATAAAGTTGCCATGCGCAAGTTTATTAAAAAATAAAGTTGCCATGCGCAAAGTTAGTGGAAAATAAACCAGCGCTGGACCCGACCACAGCTAGCTAAATCGACTGTAAGTCACTTACGAGACTTACGATAAGTGCACTTATACGACTTGCCGTAAGTGATGTATCTGATTAACAAGTGCTGGGAGATTACTTATATCTACTTATAGTAAGTCACCTAAAACCATTACACCACTTATCCATAACTCCCTCCTGGCAAATACTAAGTGGCATATTCATTTAGGCCACTTAATAGAAGAACCCTCGTCAGTTATTATGTCTCCTAAACAAAAGATAATTAAATATCAGACAAACTAGACTTAGTAAGTAATGTTATCACACTTGTTAAATTGATATACTTGATATAACAAGTCCTTTGGCCCACATAGCAGCAATCGCCCAAGTCTGGTAAACACTTATAACCGACAGCGACGATCCAAGTGGGGGCTTCCGGAACTGTCCGGGCTTACTGCAGTTGCCGTCTCAGGGCTTGTAGCTGCGGCTGACTTGTCGGGTGTACTGCTAGGGCTCGGTGCTTTAAGAGTTGCCGGAGGCGTCGCTGGTGGCACCGCTCGCGGAGCAGCAGCCTGGCTGCTGCCTGTCAGAGCAAGCCTCAAGGATGGCAGTTTGGGACGTTAAGGTTTGACTTGGTTTGTAGGATTTGATTTCTGGGTTGAAATAGGATTGGGGTGGTACGTATAATTCTGTATATCTAGGATTCGTCATATTTTCGCTTCTCACCTGCACGGTGGAGCCACGAGGTCAGGCTGTGTAAAGCATATAACCAATATAAGAAACAGTTCAACTATAACAGACTTAATTATAGACCCCAGGGCCTTCCGATACAATCCCACTAGTATTGTTCACATATATAGGAGTTAAAGCACAAGCTTGCTTTTTCACATATGTATTGGCTCTGAGATGTGAATGTACAGCTTTGGGTTTCCTAGATAATATCTAGTAGTATGTTAAGGTCTAAGGGTTTAGTCTTGGGCTTTTGGGGTTTAGTTGTATCGGCTTCGGCTTTGAACCTTCGGGTTTAGGATTTGAGGTTGAGGGATATGTAGGGTTTAGGGCAGTAGGTGTTCGGATTCAGTTAAAGAAGGAATGAATGGTTCTAGATATTATGTAGGTTATACGTACCAGCCTAAGCTAGACCCACCCCATGATAAAGCACCCCACTTTTCGAACACTGAACACAGAACGTTTCGCACAAATCAGAAACCCTATGGCCGGTTGTATTGCACCAGATGTACATATGGCCCGATTAGCAATGCCCAAAATCCGAAACCCCCGATATGCCGCAAAGAAACATTCGGCTCTTCACCAACTCCTGTTGTTCCGGAGTCAAACCCAAGGCACCAAGAGACACACTGGCATCGATGGCGACCGCAGCCTTGGGATCAGGAGCCTCGGACGAAGCACATGAGCCCAAGACCCTTAAAAGACATGGTTGATCCACCCACGTGTGCCCTTCAATTAGCTTAAGCTGAGTCACCGATCCCACCCCCGAGCTTTTGGGGGCCGGAGCTGCTGATTTCTTCACCATGCTTCACAGAATGGCCCCAAGTTCTCTGGGCGCCACAAACAAAAAGCTTGATCTCAAGACCACACGAGCATACTGCTGATTCTCCAAAGCCGCACAGATCCGGAATCGAGGCTATCAGACAGGCATAGTGCAAAACTGTACTTGTTGACGCTTTTTGACGCTTTTTGACGCTTTTTGACGCTCAACCCCCTCGGCTGTCATATGCAGCTGTCCAGAGAAATGTGCACTGAATCTTAAGGACCCATGCGTGCAAAACAGTACTTTGGGTGTATATCTATCCGTGAGTATGGATACAGCAGAGAAAAGTGTACTCAATCTTAGGGACCCGTCCATGCAAAACTGTACTTGGGTGTATACGTATCCATGAGTCTGGACCCAGCGACCTTTCCCGGACAAAACGCGAGTGTGTGCTATACGTGAGACCATAGCTAGATCTAGGTCCTAGAGAGGAATGCTGATCCACACTGTGCTAGCGAACTCTCTGATGGCTTCAGCATTGAAAACAGCAAGAAGCACACACCCGTACCCCGAAAACTCAATAAGTGGCAACACGAAAGCCCTCATCAATAGATGCTCATATGTAAGCCAGAACCCCGGACTCAGATAAAAGGGTGCGGCCACATCTCAGGTAGATGAAGCCTGCCGCTCGCCACCATCCATTGGGCCACTTCCAGCAAGCGGTCCTTTTCATGAGCATGGGTTTGCTTGGATAAATAGAGTTGGGGATGCTAGAGGGCAGGCGGTTTATGTAGGCTTATAAGGCTTGTTGGTTGAATTTTTAAGGAAAGCATTGGTTTAGTGGCGGTTGTACTACTCCGAAACAAGTGTTGAATCTACATATTCGTATATATATATACATAGATATGTGTGATCTTAGAATAGTGCTCGAGAAGATACATCAATATGTAGCCTTTATACCTGTATCTATATCTGTATCTATATCTATATCTATATATGTATATATAGATCTCCACATCCTACTGGGCCCTGCTGGTCATGGTTCTGAGAAAAAGCCTTCGTTTTGTTATCCGCAGTTGTCGGTCATCAGGATTCTGGGTGTATCGTTTGGGGTTGTCTCCGGATGTATCTTAAACAACGACTACACACAGGCGCGTGTGGGCTTTTCCTACATGGAAGGTTGAAGTTTGAA